TTTTCCAAAAACTCATTTCTTTTCCGGCACTCAAATTACATTTTGCGTCAGTAATTGTGTACGGTGCCATTATTATGCCAATTGCACTCGTCCCCTGTGCTACCTCCGGTTACTGTACAAAACACGCACAATGTGGGTCCGTCCCGTGTGAACTCGCCTGTCGAGGAGAATACCCCTGAGGGTCAAAATACCCGGGAGAGACGACAACATTTCTCTCCACTCGCATCGTCAATTTAGCGCCTGTCCCGGGTTTCCTCCCTTCCTGTGGAGGTCGGTGAATTGAGGGTCCCTTTTGCTAAATTCCGCTGCGTCGCGCGCCTTCCCCGCCGCGGTCGATTCCGTCTTCCAGCGAGGGGGACTTCGCCCTCAAGACTGAGGCGCTAAAGTTTGGATCCGCCGGAATGGCACGATACACGCTCAATAAAAAGGCATTGCGTTCTCTCTCACTTTTCGTCCTGGCATCGATACAGCGCTGCAGATACTTCGTCCTTTCGCTGACGTCCGCCAAATCCATCTTGGTGTCAGACAACCGACCCAGTGCATCCGCCTTCTCGCAACGCAGTTATTCAATGCATTTGTTAGCCCCCCGTAGCTGCTGACGCAGCAACTCAAGACCCCCCTCACTATCTCTCAGCCGAGACTCAAGATGCCGCATCCCCGCGAGGGTGCTGCTCATCTGCTGTTCTTGTTCAAGCAATTCCATAAGCGCCTCGTTGCAGCGCCGCGTCTCGCTCCCAACGCGCTCCTTGAGGCCATCGCGGTCAAGTTGCGCAATTTCATTCTCCACCCGCTCGTCCTCGTCGACGTGAGAAGGGCAGGCGTCACCTTCAAAGACACACGGCAGATTGTTTAGGTACTCCCGCACAACGGCATCTCTGCAGGCAATGCGTCTGAACTCGTCGTCGTCGTCGTCGCTCGCAACTGGCCGGAAGCTGCATGTTTCCAACCTCGGCGGCGTGTAGGAGCTGTCCATCACGACAGTCGGCGCGGGATGATCGATGAAAACAAACAGCACCACCGCCAAGAACACACACACACACACACACTGTGCACCGCAGCTATCGCCTAACCACACGCCTATCCGCCAGTCTATATATATATATATACATATATATATACAGGCAGTTAAACAACTACGAGAGAGAAACCAAAGACAGAAAACCTCAAGTTTGCCTTCCGCCGTTCTTGAAAACAAAAGGCAACACGAAAAACAAAAAGCAAAAAAAAAGGCAAAAAAGGAAAAGAAAAAAGTGTGGTCATGGAATGCGACGTCTCCAATGCAGTAGCGGGGGGCGGGGAGGGGAGCAGCAGAGGGAGGAGATGCAGAATGAAGGGAAATGGCAAGTCACATTCCCCACAGACCGTGTCAGCAGACAAATATACACATACTGCATGGCTACAAACACGTGTGTGCATGGCCCTGCCGGGCAGTACTGAATGAAAACAGTAAAAAAAAAAAAAGGGGGGGGGGGGGGGGAAAGAAGCAACAGGGACGGAGAGAAGCATCGTGATTGAGTTTCACGCACAATATCGTGTAGGGAGGAGAGAAGGGGAGTGAAAAAAAAAAAAAAAAAAACTAAAATACAAAAGGCCAAAGGGGAGAAAACAATTAGCAGACACACACGCAGAAGTAAAACAACAACAACAAACGAGGTAAGTAAAAAAGAAAAAAAAGTAAAAAAAAAAAGATATACGCGCATACATTTCTCACTAAAGCAGATATAAAAATGAATACATAAATGTATATGTATATAAGCATGCATATTATACCCCCCCACCCAACACCCACAGAAACGTGCACGCACAAATTTTCCACAACGTTCTCCCCGATTGGGTTTCATTGCCCACGCATACGCATACACACATATATATATTTACATATATGTGCGGGCATGCTGCCCATCCCTGGATGCTAATTACTATCATTGCCACAACCATAATGGAGAAAAAAAAAAAATGTCAGGCTTCTTCACTCAGGAGTAAACTCCACTTCATACAAAAACTACACTTCTTACTTCCCATACAAGCACGCACTGTTTCCTTCTTTTTATGTTGGATTCCGTTCTCATTCCTCTTTTTTTTGTCTGTTTTTTACTCTTCTGTTCGCCCTGTGACATGTCACATGTTATTCCTCCAACCTTCTTCGTCATCTCCCTCACAGTGTGTGTGTGTGTGTGTGGGTGGGTGGGAGCGTCACGGCAGCCTTGCGCACATTCCCCCTACGGCACACCGTGCCTCTCGCTACGACACATACATAAATCTACAAGAGCGCATTTTACCGCGTGTCTCGGTCTGTTTGTCCCCTTCAGCCCCCTCATGCTAAAAATAAATGGGAAAAAAAAAGAAGCACACGGCTCGCCCCGTCTTCATAGGCGCTCTTCGGCCGCAAGACTAATTTTATTCGAGTGCCCCGACATCGACAAAATCCACAAACTCGTCGCTGTCGTTTGCCACCGCGCCCGACTCCTGCCGCTCGTCTCGTGGGTCTTCGCGCTGCTCGCAGTGCGCGCTGCCGCCGTTGGTGATGGTGGGGAGTTCCATCAGCCACTCCGCGTCGTCGCCCATCATTCGATCAAACGACATGGAGTCCGCCTCTCCCTCGCAGTCCATGAGAATCAGCCAGTCGGCCTCCTCGTCCTCAACGACCTCCAGCGCCCTTTCAAAGTCGCGGTACTCCGCCGTGGCTTTTCTCCGCCGCTCCCGCCTCGCCTCCGGTCCGTTGCGGCGCAATAAAAACGGCAAGTAACCGCCCCCAAAGGAGCCAATGAAGGAGCCCAACGCCGTCCCCACGCCGGGGACTACCAGAGCGCCAAGAACGGCTCCGCAGCTACCACCCACAAGCGAGGCGGCGCCCGAAGAAAGGGCCGTCACGACGTCGTAGGAAAACTGCTGCGCCGCAATATCAGGGTCCGTGAAGGAGTGCTTAAGAAGAATGCAGCCATGGAACCCAATCTGAACCGCGGTGGCGGAGATGGCAGAGACTGCGCTTCCGTGGAGGCCAATCGTTTTAAATTGCATCAAAAGGGACTGTTTTGCTAACCACGAGGTGGCATTTGACGTACTGCCTACACACCCCGGCGTGCACGAAGCAACAAGCCGGGCAAGCCTCTCAATCGTGCGCACCAAAAGCCGAGGTGAAGAGAGTGAGGCACGCGAAATCACAAACAGAAATGCCTCCACCTGCGCGCG